AAAAATCTAATTAAAACCATTGATCGTCACGAGGGTCACCGACTTTAACATCTGCCAACAGTACGCGACCAGACTCCAAAAAATGTGCGCTTGGAATTTTGTAATTAAGTTGGAGTGCGTATCGCGCCTTCATTTCGCAACTTTTCTACGTTTTTTTACGTCTGAAATCTTGTAGCATAAAGTTCTGTAGAACTTGAAAGTGCTATAGAATAATTCTAACTTTTCAATTCAAGAATTTCACTAAAATAGAAATCTTTTTATTTTACAAAAGTATGTAAAATGATTTTATAATCATCATATTAGAATTTATTAGAATTTCCCTAGATTTAATGTAATATGTTACACCAGAGAGCTTTTTAACTTTATATTGTAAAGATAAATTGATATACATCAAACATATTGTTATGAAATTAAGATGTAGCAGAATTTTTAGAATTACAATACATTGTTTTTCAATATCCAGTTTTTATATACAATCCTCTTCATATTTTTTTTAAAGTTATACATCAATAACGTAATATACAAATATCGCGATATAATATAATATTACGCATATCGTGCATTGTTGCAGATTTTTGAATTGATTTGCCAAAAATGAAAACGCGAAGTATTTGTTCCAATTTGTAATCAACAGCCACACTAGAAAATTGTAATAGTCAATTGAGAGGTGCTCGATAAAAAAAATATTTTTCACAATCGCGTAAACAATAAAACATCACTAACGGGGAGATTTAACTTTGGCAAGCGAGTATGAAGATGTCGGCAAAATGTGACTCTGAAAACGTAAATATTCGCAACGAAGGTGGATCAACAAAACTACTACGTGTCGACTATAATATTTACCGCATCATGGCACGAGTAGCTACAAGTCGCGATACAGAACGTAACTAAATGTAGGACGTTCGCTTTATACGAACGTTACTTCGTTGAATGTTAGTTGGTGGAATACATCGTATCAGGACCTTGCCCAAACACTCGGTCTGCGTCGGCAGATGTTTAGCTTGCCATGTACTCTGTTTACGTAGCTTAATCGAAAAATCATAAGTGCAGGCGATACCAGTAGACGTACGACTATTATACAACGGCGTGCTCCACTCGTGGAAGCGGAACGCTGCCAGAAGCAGAATGCGGCCTTCAACCCCTATTTATTTGTGAATTTTTTAATAGTCTTTCCGGTGCAAAGAATCTGTTGCAGTTATTGTTATACGTTATTTTGTTGAAAGATTGGACAAAATAAAAATTATGAATGCAAAAGTGAAATGATTCGAGAGAAATTTTAAACTTGTTCGCGATCAAATGTAAATGTCTTGTAATTCAATAATAATACTTTTTTTAAACTAAAATTTTCTTATATTGTTTTTCAATTAAGCGAAATAGAAAATATTTTAAATCAGTATATCGAACAAATGTTAAATAAAAAAAATATTAAATTATACTATTAAAGAATAATAAAGTATTTCGTTAATATATTAGAATACCCATTGTTATCGGAGCGATATATTCTCGATTGATTTCAATTACCGATAAATTTTGCATGATATGATCAGTAAACGTTATTTATAGTAACATGTTTCATGACACGTTATTACAGAAAATCCTGCTAACGTATAGGATAATAATAGCGAATTTGACACGATATCAAGATAATTTAATTCGACATGCAATATTGAATGTGTATACAACGATGTATACGCGCTGCCAGAATCTTCTGCAATCGTGTTAGATTGTATACATAGTAACTTAGAACCATCCCCGGAGATTCATTCGAACTACTGATAGCGAGGTATGGCTTGGTAGTGACACCAATCAATGTACACTCGTGTATAACACGAGAACGTTTAACCATCCGCAGGCTACGGATTTAGATAGGGTTAACTATGAAGAGGGAAATCTAGTTGCTTGGGTCCCTAATTATCTCAAGATCGACTCGCTGCGGGTGAACAGGTATAAACAGTGATTCTCAGTTAGACAGTGATCAAAGTGGCCAATCTATATCGCTTGGAACGAAACATCTCTCCTAGATGATGATTTTATGCAGATGTTTATTACAGCTTCAAATGATTGATGCAAAAAAACAATTAAATACGTATTTTAAAATTTAAAATTTAAATAACCGCGCAACATAAAAATATTTTCAGGTCAAATGATTTTTATTATATAAATGTATAAAACTTTACTAAAAACATATGATTTTAATAAAAAAATTGTTAAATATTTTAATTGAAATATTTAAACGTAAACAGCGTTATTTTCGCTAAATTATTTCCACTTACCGTCCATCCCTCTGATCTTTTTCGTTTGACGTGTATTCGTAGCTTTACTTTATACATTATCAATCACGTCACTTTCATGCAAGCGTATTGACTGTAGTCATTAATCTCATTTCAAGCTAGTATCGATCGTAAGTAACGATATCATGCATTCTCTTTTTGTCTCTCTCTCTCTCTTTTTCT